TTATTTTATTATTATTATTAATTTTAATGACAATTTACAGACTTTGGATTTCCATTCATGCATTGTTGCACTTTTCTCCCTGCCCACCCGCTCCCCCAGTTTGCTCTGCTCTTTGAAAAGTAAAAGAAAAATTCTTTCACTGTTATACAATCCCTTCCTTCAAGTCCTTAACACCACATCTTCAATGCGGATCTCCTACAAGTGGGCTTAGAGCCAGTATGCACCACTGCCAGTATGCATCCCACTCCTGGGAGAGCTGTGTTCTCACAAGTAAAGAGTGCATTTTTACACTAATGAGGAAAATATATTTATTTCAACAAACAGACACTGCCCTGGATATGCTCACTAAGTTGTGCCAGCCAAGCTGGAGGACAGCCAGCTGGCCAACTGACTGGAAGAGATTGATATTTGTTTCCATCCCAAAGAAAGGTAACCCAAGAGTGTGGAAATTATTGAACAATATCATTAGTATCACATGCAAGCAAGATTCTGCTGAAAATTATCCAAAACGTTTGGAACAATATGTCAACAGAGAACTGCCAGATGGTGCAGGCTGGATTTAGAAGAGGGGAAGGCCCTCTGGGAGGTGGATTGATTCGGTGACTGGGGCAATCGGGATGAGTGTGTTGGAGACAATGAGATTGGCACAGGACAGAGCAGAGTTTAGAGCTGTTGTACATACGGTCGCTATGAGTTGCAAGCGACTCGACACCACATAACAACAACAACAACAACAATGGTATTAGAGATATTATAGCTAATGTTAGATGGATCTTGGCAGAAAGCAGAGAATACCAGAAGAATGTCTATCTGTGTTTCATTGACTATGCAAAAGGCTTTGGACTTTGTGGATCACAAGCTATGGCTGATTCTGAGAAGAATGGGAATCTCAGAACATTTGATTGTGCTAATGCAAAACCTATACTTGGACCAAAAGGCAGTCATCAGAAAAGAGCAGGGAGATACTGGATGGTTCAAAATCAAGAAGGGGGTCTGACAGGGATGTACTTTGTCTCCACACCTTTTCAATCTGTATGCAGAACAGATCATCTGAGACGCTGGAGGAATGTGACATCAGGATTGGTGGAAGAATCATCATTAACCTATGTTATGCGGATGATACCACCCTGCTTGCTGAAACTGAGGAGGACCTGAAGCGCTTGCTGCAGAAGGTCAAGGACTGCAGCCTTCAATATGGATTGAAGCTGAACATCAAGAAAACAAAGATTCTCACCACTGGGCCAAT